TCACCCTTTCTGCCCCACGCTCCTCCGATGGCAGCCAGACCACGCTCCGGATCTGGGGACAGATCTCGGCTTTGTACCAGCACACGGTCCTGGGCTCAGTGGGGTTTCTGCGCCTTCCCCAGCGGTTTCAAGTTTTTGTTGGTAAGAGAAGAATGTGGAGCCGCAAGTGGGATTCTACATCTGTTTTCAGGGGCAGCCTCGCACTATACACACACCTGTGAAACCAACACAATCTCTTTTGTTAACTCCCCTGCCCTCAAACTCTGGAATGCACTGAGCCCGAAGCCCATGGGAAAGCACTTGTGCACTTCCACGTGGACTCTAAAACATGATACACGTGAGACTGCCTTGGGTTCAGTGGTTAAGACTTTATGTTTCCAAAGCAGGGTTCAACTCCTGGTCAGGGAACTAAGATACCACATGCCACGCAGGAGAGCCTCCCAAAAGTTGTTTTTTTTTTTTTAAGTTTTAATTAAAAAAAAAATATGATGCAAATGAACTTATTTACAAATAGCATACTCACAGACATGGAAAACAAATGTATGATTACCACAGGGGAAAGCAGAGGAAGATAAATTAGGAGTTTGGGATTAGCAGATACAAGCTACTATGAATAAAATAGACAAACAAGGTCCTACTATATAGCACACAGAATTATATTCAATCTTCCTGTAAAAACATCATAATGGAAAGAAACACATGTATGTGTATAAAAGAAGAAATATATGCATGTATAATGAAAAAGAATATATGTATATATAACTGGATCTCTTTGCTGTACACCAGAAACTAATACACATGGTAAATCAACGATACTTCAACAACAACAAAAAAAGACTTTGTGAGAGAATGCAAACTCCCCTTGCCTCTATGCTCTCTCGTATTCTCAGCTATCTTGTCAGTCCTCACCTAACTTTCAAAAACTTTTCAAAATATTTTACATTTTTCTTATTTGCTTTCTAAAACCACTTTTTTATTATTATCTTGAGTTGCAGTAAAACACACATAATATAAAATTTATGATCTTCACCATTCTAAGTGTACAGTTGAGTGGCATTAAATCCACTCACCATGTTGAGCAACCATCACCGCTGTCCATCTCCAGAAGGCTTTCCATCATCCTGCAAAGCCGAAATGTATCCGTTAACCAAGAGCTTCCCATTTCCTCTCCAGTCCCTGACAACTACCATTCTACTTTTTATCTTCATGACAGTCTGAGGTACCTTAAACAGTCAAGGAAGAAAATTGTTTGAGGTACCTTAAACAGTCAAGGAAGAAAAGTGGAATCATATAAGAATTTGTCTTTTTGTGACTGGTTTCTTTTACGTACATAATGTCTTCAAGGTTCATCCATGTTACCAGCATGTATCAGGTTTCCCTTTCTTTTTAAGGCTGAATAATGTTCTATTATACATATATGCCACATTTTGTTTATTCATTCATCTATCAGTAGACACTTGAGTTGCTTCCACCCCATGTCTACTGTGACTAATGCTATGAACCCAGGCATACTCTTCTTATCTACTTTTATGTATTTGCTCTTCCTGTGTTTTGGCACAGGTAAAAGGGTTCATGCCCCATATCTCCTTAGAGGGACTTGTCCTTCTCTGATTCCAGTTCACTTGCTTATCTTGTGAGCTCAGTTCTTGACGGGCCCCAGACAAGTTAAGATTTTGTATATTATTCAGCTTTTACTTATTGTGATGGTGGGAGTGATTTCTTGGGGCTTTCTCCATCTTAAGTGGAAACCAAACTTCTGCACTTTGTTTCATTTTAAAAAATAATGAGGGAACAGTGGGAAGACAGAAGAAGAATCAGATGGAGGGACATTACTAAAAGAGATATTAATGCACATCTTTATATTTTCTAATTTAGGCAGTCACCAGGCAAAAGCAAATATCAAGACCTAGAAATCTAAGTAGGTATTTAGGAATATGGAAGTAAACACCGGGGGAAAAAAACTGGTTGTTTCCTATGAAAAGGAACTGAAGATGATGAGTATCGGAGGAGGAGACTGTTAGTTATATCATCTGCCTTGTAGAAAATTTTGACTTTCTAAACATGCACATGTATAAAATTTGTTGAAAAGCTTAAAAAATTTTTTCAGTATTATAACTGATACCCCGAGGTGGCAAATGCAAAAAAAAAAACTCCTTTTTCTTTTTGAAGTCTGGGCCCCATGACATGGAGAAAACAATGGAAAAAGAATTATATAAATTAATATGACATTCATTCTATCAATGTAAGAACCTACCTTGAAAGCCAGAAAAGCAATTTTGAATTGCTTTTTTAAAAATTAATTCATTTATTTTAATTGGAGGCTAATTACTTTACAATATTGTAGTGGTTTTTGCCATACATTGACATGAATCAGCCATGGGTGCACTTGTGTCCCCCATCCGGAACTGCTTTGAAAAAACAGCTTAGGAATACACAGTAACTAGGCACTGTAAGCAATGCAAAGCCATGTCTATATGCACAATTTCCCCTTTCTTTGAGCCAACAGGTATCTTTTGAAACAATTCAGGAAGGGAGGACTCTTAAACAGTACAGCTCATCCCAGATGTCCAGAGTGCAAAAAGTACCAGAAAAGCAAGGAAGAAAATCCAGACAGTTGAATCATAGGAGAACTTTGACATAGAAATCTCCAAGTCTCAATCATCCATCTATATTACCTTCTTGCTTTTTTAAAATATCAAACCATTAGAAATTTCACTGTACGAATTTTTAAAGGAGGCTTTGCGCATTATTTTATTTGGAAACTAGCAGTTAGCATGAAAGAAGATAAAACAAAATTGAAAACAATGAAAACAAGATACTTTTATTCAATTTTTGAAAGCTTGGCAACTGAAGCCTACTCTATTTGAAAAAGGGAGATAAACATGTATTTGAGACACTAGTTTTAACACTGGTACTGAATTGAAACTTTCTTCTTGCCTTAATAAAGAACACTGAAAGACAACAAACTCAGAATCTTTTCAATTCATTCAATTCAATACATATCCATACACCTCCCAAAGTCATCTCGTATAGAATCAGTCACACTGTTCCACACTCTGAGAGACACTTCTTTAGCCAAAGTCCCCTCCAGGCTTCACATTAACATGTGAATTTCAGAGAATCAGGGCTACCTCAGTTGGCAGACAGCCCAGAGGAGGAAAGAGATTAAGGAGAAAAATCACTCCCCACCTCCAACCCTATTTTTAAGATGGTAAAAATGAAACAAAGAGAGGAATCACATATGAACAAGGTAGGTAATCCTGGATAGTCAGAAGGCTACAGAGAAATAGTATGACAGAATATGACAGGGCTGATAATGATCAGGGAAGTACTCCAGGTAAACAACTTCAACATGTATTTGTAAAGCAGACTCTGATGAAACCACAAATTCACTCAACAAGTAATTGTTGACCTTGTGCTTGATGCCCGATACTATACAGTTTCCTGGTTTGTTATCACCACTGAAGTAGATTAATGAAATATTTATCTATGTAATAACTACAGTCTGTGTGTGCCACATTCACTCCTATTTCCACAACATATAATAATACTTTGGGGATCATGAATGTCCTATGTACTCCTAGAAGAAGACAATCTTAAACATGAAATGTGAGAGCAGTTATCAATCTAAGCTCCCTGTATACTCAGAAATCTCTTCTATCTCATCCATAACAAATATGATGAGCTTCTGCTGAATGTTGCCAGAGATAGGGACTCCTGAACCACACTCACCCAAGACTATTCTCTCATAGAGAAAATTGGCTTCTCTGGAATTCCCAGCCATAGATTCCAGTTCTCAAGCAAGCAATAAAGATGAAATCTTTCTTCCTTTTGACATTTGGAAGCTCATTTTATATTTATCTTGGACTCCTCTTTGCCAAGTTCATGGTCCGTAGTTCAAAAAGCTGCTCTTACAAAGCAAATTGTTTTTCCATTAGTTCTCCAGCAGACACATGATCATCTGAAAATGGGTGCCTGAAACCAGGCATGATACTTCAGACAGAGTTTATAACAGAGAATAATAGGACAGTACCCCTTCCCACTATTTAGACCTCGCTATGGGCATGGCTGTTTATCCTATCCACATTACACTGGCAACTAAATTGGATAGTACTCCCTCAAATCTCAAGTTCTTCCTGGAATCTCAGAATGTGACATCATTTGAATTTGGGCCATTACAGATCTAACTGTTTATATTAAGATGAGGTCATAGGGGAACAGTACAGGTCCTTAATCCAATACCACTAGTATCCTTAATGAGAAGAGAAGAGACACAGATTCAACATGGCGGAGGGAGTGGCATTCGTGTCACAAGAACGCCATGTGACAGTGGGGGCAGAGATTAAGTGATACCTCTGTAAACGGAGGAACACCAACGATTACAGGCAGCACCAGGAGCTAAAGGAAAGACAGGAAACAGATTCTCCCCCAAAAGTCTTTAAAGAGAGAATGGCCCTGCCAACACCTTGACTGCAGGCTTCTATCTTCTCGAACTGTGAGAAAATAAACTTCTGTTGTTTGAAGTCACCCAGTGGGTGTTAATTTGTTAGAGCAGCCTCAGAAAACTTACACAGTAGTTCTGTCTCGCACATAAATAACACACTTCTTTTTTGTTTTTGTTTTGTTTTCCTTCCAGTAATTGATCATCACTGAAGCAAGTTTTTCCATCAGGAATCCATGTAGTGAACATGAGTATGTCTGCCCAGTATTATCTAGTCCCTTCTTTCCAGGAGGGGTGGATTACAGATTATGCCTTGGTAGCCCCTTGGGTCCTTAAGCACAGGGGTGGTGGACTGCCAGTCACGATGCCCTGTTATTCCTCTGTATTTGTTCCCAAAATGCAAGTCCATGTGCCTGATGCACAGCGAGGCCAAACAATACAAAACACCAGAGTTCGGAGTAGAGAAAGATTTATTACAGGGCCCTGCAAGGAGATGAGTGGCTCCTGCTTTAAAAACCCTGAACTCAAAAAAAAAACAAAACAAAACAAAACCCTGAATTCCCCAAAAGCTTTCAGCAAAGCCCTTTTCTAGCACAGGTGAGGGAGGGGTGTGGTAAGGAAGGGTCCAGGTCCCAGGGTACAACTTTCACCCTCCAAAGTCCGGTCCCGGCTAAGAGGAGACACATCTCAGTTGGCAGGAGCTCTCTCAGGGCCAGGATCCCAGACCCCACCCAGCGGTCACCACTGAGGGAGCCAGGTGCCCAACCCAGCTGGCTCTCGGGCTCCTCAGGCCGCACGAATGGGGCGGGGGCAGGTCCCACAGGCTGTGACCTGCAGACTCGCTGCTATTAGGTCACAGAGGAGAGGATGGGGGAGACATTCACGGCTGCCATGAAGGCCTGAGCCAAGGCCAGCGGGCGGCCTTGGTGAGGGCTCTGGAGCCCTACAGAACACCGCCCTCAGCCTATTCCCCAGACCCTCCAGCCCACACACTGGCCCAAGGCCTGGTGAGCTGGAGGGTCCTGGGGAGAGGCTGGGATCCACCTCTTATCTCACTCTCTCACGACCAACACTCTACCAACAGTTGACCAAATCCCCCCCACTAAAGGTTGCTCGGTGACAGCTGGTTGATGTGGGCGGGGCCCACTTCGTGCTGACCAATGGCTGAGCCAGCCTCATTGCCAGGTAACAGGGTGAGGCGTAATGGCGCCCTGGGAGGGCAGTGCTCTGTTACAAACTGACCCTCTTTCTCTCTTTCTGGCTCTCTCAGATTTCTGAGTCTTGGGCACAGAGACCCAATCATGGAAAACAGCTAGAGTTGACTTATTCCAGCACCAGGTTATCATTTCCAAGGTCTCCTTCTTCAGCATTTCCTTCGATTCCATAAACTCCTCCAGGACCGTACACCGAATCCCTTTCTGTTTAAATTATCCAGAATCGGTTTCTATTTAATTCGGTTAAGGAATGCTGATAAATTACAAAACTGAAGCTCTGAGTTTTGTTCTGTTGTGTTTTATTGCTTATCTGATTTTGACTTACCACTACTAGTAGGTTCCACTGAAATTTCAGCTTCATTTCATTCCCTTCCACTAACTGGCTCAAAACTTTTCCATGTATAATTGTCTGTAATGGATTTACTACTGTGTTCTTCAAGCCTCTGCACCTCTGCCCAAGAAGAGGAAGCTGATGAAAAACTTACAAGAAATGAATGCACAGTTTCCACCTGGACTACTAACAACATTTTCACTCTCTCTCTGATTAACAGTGAACTAGTCACATGGTTCGGGCCCTAAATCAGGTCTAACCTGAAGCCAGATACATATACTCCCATGTTTTACTCAGTTACACATTTATGAAGCCTCTCTTTTTATTCCTTTCTCAAGTCACTTAAAATCAAGTTTTCTGATTCTTTATGGTGAAAATATATGAACAAATTCAAGTTTAAATAGTTACTTTCAAGGGCATTGCTGAAGTATGGTGAATTAGCAGCGTACAAGGACAAAGAAGGGTGTGGGCATCATGCTAAGATCTTACTTGCTTATCTTACTGAATCATCACAAGAATCATACCTATAATCTGGTCAATGTGATTTGCAAAAGATAGGAGAAGCTGGAAAGTCAAGTGATATGTCCAAGTTTTCACAGCTAGTGATTGAAACATGGAGATTTGAATTCAAGTTTGAATAATTCAAAAGGGAATGTTTGTTCAAATTTGCCATCTGCCCTGGTTTTCAATTTTAAGTCTTTCATTATCGCAACTGATAATATATATTTACCTTAAGTTACAAGACAACATACATAAAATACTTTACATCTCACAAAGTATTTCCAACACATGCAGATTTTTATATTTTCACTGAATCTGAAACTCTTCAAGGAACCACAATGGCAACAGCACTGATTTAAAACAAAAACAAAACTATTAACTTAGCAACAGAACCATCAACAAGGGCCAATATTCAATTTTGTTCACTCTAATTAAGAAAAAATAAAGATATCCTAGATCATTTTGATCATTTAAGTGAAAAGTTGAGTTGAGCTCCTGTACAAATTCAATTAGAGATCCACTGATGCCTTTTTTAATTTGTCTATAAAAGACCTTTATAACAACTGAAAAGAGAAGTTCTTGAGTTGAATAACCATTTTTAAATAAACAGAATAAACATGACTTTACCAAGAAAATAAGTGTGCTCTTAAGTGGAGAATGTTGGGATGGAGACTCTGAAAATAGACTCAGCTAAAATTATGTAGCAAAACCTTGGGCAAGTTACACCATAATCCTGAGTCCCCAAGGCCCCATCAGTCAAAAGAGGACAACAGACCACGTCACCTTCAAAACCCCATCCTAACTATGATCCACTCCCAATGTCCTTTGCCACCTCAGTTTGCTCACCAATAGCCCCACTGCTTCCCCATCCTGGACAGTAACCATTTAAATTTTGGCACTAGAAGGACACGTAAGCCCATCACCATCACTATTGACAGGCACTTTGCTTTGAAAATATTTCCTCTAACCCTACAGTGAACTCTATAAAAGGAAAAGAATTCTCTTTCAGAGATGAGGAAATTGGAGCACCATGAGGTAATTTAAAAAAAAAACAACCCTCATCTAAAGTCACAAAACTACTAAGGAAGAGTGCCAGATCAACTCCTTGGATTGCTATACCTCTTTTCTGCTAATGGATAGTGAGTGTTCTGGCTCATCTGTTGGTCTTTTCCAAATACATCAAATTGATTCACAAGCCAGGGTGCAACGCTAGTTCAAATCAAAACCGCTGAAATCATGTTTCATAATCCAGAAGACTAAGATCTATGCTTGCTCAGTGGAGCCCCAGACCAATGTCAAGTACCAGGCATGTTTGTGTATAAAAGAAGCTGCTTCCAGCACCCGTAACTGTGCTCCTAGTGACAAACAATATATCTCTTTCACCTCTTTAAAAGGACAGAGACAGCTCTAAACCATAAAATTAGAAGGGATTGTATCAACCAACTTAGCCCAGTATTCAGGCTCCAAATGATATCACATAATGAATATTCCAGAGATAGAAGAAACACACTCTTTATAATGAAGGCTGAAAGTCTTGGGAAATCTTCTAGGCTATTTGCTTCTTCAGATGAATAAGCATTTATGAACGCAAGTAAAACCTTCCACAGGCAAGGTTACCTTGCTAATAATGTAAAATGAAATTAAAAACAGAAACTCTCTTTGCCTTTGCTATAGCATAAATTTCAAATTCTTGCTTTTGTTGTTGTTCTCACTCTTAAATTCAGCAAGGGCAACATACACTGTTCAATGAAATTTCCTATCTTTACACTGCCCTTCTTCTAACTGGACAGTAACTGACCTGCCGCAGTGACCACCAAGTTCGTTTACAGGTAAGGGAAGCTGCCATGTCAGTTCATTCCCCATTCCCAATACTTAATACTCAGAGTTTAAGGCATAGGTAGTACCTAGTACAGCAGAGATGCTCAGCTCTGAAATCTTTGTTAGTAGTTTCATCAAAATAGTGACAGATACACTCAGTTTTTGAAAGTGAACCCTTGGTGCAGTTTTATTGATGACAATGATTTGAAATTCTGCTTCACTCTAACCATCTATACCAGCCAGCCTACTGCCTCCTACTATGGCTATTAAATGTATAAAAGGGCACACTTCAGCTCAACAAGTATCTGCGGGAAAAGAAACCATCTCTCCTTGCTCAGATGTCAAACAAAATCAATAACTATTTCCAAAAGAAAGGAAGAGGTAGAGAAGAACTGACCCCTTTCACCTCAAATTGCTCACTCCCTCCTTGTCTGATCTATACAGAAACCCATGTAACCGTTTCCCCCTATTTTTTTTTTCTCCTGCATTTCACCAAGGTGATCTGAAGTATCAATATTTTCAAGAACAAGGCTATATATATCTCTATAGCCTCTTCAAATTTAATGAAAATGAATACCTTCTTGTGTTTCTTTGTAGAGACAGACTTTTAGAGACATACATGAAGTACATGCATGTTACTCTAAATAAACGTGGTTTAGCAAACTATTGCAATGCACAATGCAGCTCAACAATGAGTTCAAATGCCCAGAAGAGAACCTGCTAGCGCTGAAATTACACAGGCTAGCTGAATTTACAAAGAGTATTATCATTGGTTCAAATTATCTTCTTGAGGCTTCACACAGCCCATGAGAAGTGCCCTCGATCAACACCAGTGTGGCTCACAGTGAAGTTCTGTTTTCCTCAGTTCTTTCCCTCTTGTCTTCAGGAAGAGGAATCCTTCCTAAGATCAAGAACATGCGACTATACAAACAACTGAATAAGGCAATTCAGGGCTACAAGCAGAGAAACTGAGGTTGCCTTTGTGGAAAACAAGGGCTCTCTCCCCCAATATTTTTCCAAGAGCCAAAGCTCTGTTCCTCTGAGAAGCAGGAGACAGTTGTTTGTGTTTGTACACACAGGAGTGAAGAAGGGGATCCTGACGGCCCCAGAGACTAAGCAGGAGCCTCTTCTGCTCTGTGAATTCCTGAGGGACGGTGGGCTGGTGACGGCCAACGACGGAGGGAATGGTTATTATAACAAGAAAGGAAGTAAGCAGCCCTAATGAGAATCCCTTTAGAATGAATTCTGAAACCAATCAGCCAACCAACAGAAGCACTGTGTGGATGGAAGTAGGTAGAGGGGAGAGGCTGGAAATGCTGACCAAATCTCTTCAGTGTCATCATGACCAAGGTTTTATCTAACAGGTGTTTCGGCGTTCTGAATTCCTGCACGTGGGCCATCTTAGAACAGCGCCCTGATCTCATTACATCTATGAATGTAAGCTATTGTTCCTCTTCTCCAGGCAGCGTATTGTAGTACCGGCCAGAAAGGTTTGCTTCTCAATACATGCCTTGCTGTCGATTTAAAACTGAAACTAAATCCATGAAAATTATATGGGATTCTTACCTTTCTGTGTGGACACCTACAGACACTAAGGTTTCACCTGGGAACATTTCATGAGGCTTCTAATAAATGTTCAGCTAACATTTTCCTCGGATTCAGTTCAATTCCTCACTACATGAAGAATTTATTAAATTTAAAATAAATTAATTTTTTAAAAAGATATGTATTTTTAAAAGCAATTGAACAAGTTTCACTGAACGAATTCAGTGAAAAATACTGCAGTAGAACAGTTTTAACTTGTTTTCATTTTAAAAAAAAGCTTACTCAGCTCCTATGCATACTATATATGTCTTTTCTGACAGTTTCAATCTATTTTAGGACCTCTTTTTTGAAGGCTGAAAAGAAGTTCTGCTAAAAGGAAATCTCTTTAATTTACTTTATTAAAGCAAGTGTTTTTGTACATGGGGGGACAGTTGGCAAAGGGAGTCTCTTAATATATTAACTACTCTTGATTTTTCAAGGTAAACTTCCAATGAAAATATGTGAAAGCATCCTGATCGGAGAATCTTTTCATTCTAATCACACCTGTTCTAAGCCAGGGTTCCTCATCTTCAGTACTGCTGACATCTGTGTGTGTCTGTGTGTGCTCAGTCGTGTCTGACTTTTGTGACCACAAGGACGGTAGCCTGCCAGAGTCCTGTGTCCATGGAATTTCCCAAGCAGGAATACTGGAGTGGGTTGCCCACCAGGCTCCTCTGTCTATGGAATTTCCCAGGCAAGAATACTGGAGTGGGTTGCCATCTCCTTCTCCAGAAGATTTTCCTGACCCAGGAATTAAACCAGCATCTCCTGCATTGGCAGGCAAATTCTTCACCACCATGCCACCTGGGAAGCTCCAGCTGGATAATTCTTTGCTGGGGGGGGGGGGAGGTGGTGG